GGCCCCCTCTCCAACCCCAACAACTACACCTACCCGCCACTCCTCGCCGCCTGCCCGCCTTCTCCCCGCTGGTTCACCCACCGCAGCGGGCACTGCTGTCCACGCCTCCCTCTTCCGCCGCGGTCTTGACTCCCGCTACCGCTTCATCGGCGCGTCACTCCTCTCCTTCTACGCTGCCGCCGGGGACCTGCCCGCCGCACGCCAGGTGTTCGGCGCAAGTCCCCCCAGTCAAAGGGACCTGCCCCTCTGGAACTCGCTCCTCCACGCCCACCTCTCCCAGGGCTTCTACGCCCACGTGCTACGCCTCTCCCGCCAGATGCCCGCCGCCGATGAGGTCACGCTGATCGCCCTCGTCTCCACCTGCGCACATCTCGGCGCGCTCGACACCGGCTGATGGGCGCATGCTTGCTATGCAAGGACCCATCGGAGCACCACGCGGAATCTCGGCACCGCTCTGCTCAACATGTACATGAGGTGCGGAGATGTCGAGAGCGCATGGTCTGTGTTCCGTGAGACGCTTGACAAGGATGTCCGGACGTGGAGTGTCATGATCGCCGGACTGGCCATCAATGGGCTCCTCGGGGATGCGCTGGCCTTGTTTGCTGAGATGAAGAACACAGGGGTGGACCCAGATTCCATCACCATGACCGCGGTGCTGAGCGCGTGCGCCCATGCTGGCATGGTGGATGAGGGCAAGAGGTTCCTGGACTGTATGCCTGTTGAATATCGTGTACAGCCCACCATAGAGCATTATGGATGCGTCGTCGATTTGCTTGGTCGAGCAGGGCAGCTGGAGGAGGCATTGGCTCTCATTAAGGCTGTCCCTTTCCAGGCCGATGTTGTCCTATGGGGTGCTCTCTTGGTCGCCTGTAGGGTTCACAAGAATGTCGACATGGGGGAGATGGCTGCCATGGAGATACTCAAGTTGGATCCTCAGCATGCTGGGGCATGTGTGTTCTTATCTAATGTCTATGCTGATGTTGGGAAATGGGACCTTGTACAACGGGTAAGTGATACGTCTTCAACGTATCTATAATTTTTGATTGCTCCATGCTATATTATCTACTGTTTTGGAGTAGATTGGGCTTTATTTTCCACTTTTATATTATTTTTGGGACTAACCTATTAACCGGAGGTCCAGCCCAAAATTGCTGTTTTTTTGCCTATTTCAGTGTTTCGGATAAACGGAATATTAAACGGAGTCCAAACGGAATAAAATCTTTGGGGACGTGATTTTCTCACCGAACGTGATCCAGGAGACTTGGACCCTGCTCCAAGGAACAAAAGAGGCGGTCACGAGGGTGGGGGCGCCCCCCCTAGGGCGCGCCCCCTACCTCGTGGGCCCCTCGTTGCTCCTCCGGCGTACTTCTTCCTCCTATATATACACACGTACCCCCAAACGATCAGAGGAGGAGCCAAAAACCTAATTCCACCGCCGCAACTTTCTGTATCCACGAGATCCCATCTTGGGGCCTGTTCCGGAGCTCCGCTGGAAGAGGGCCGTCATCACGGAGGGCTTCTACATCATCCTAGCCCCTCCGATGAAGTGTGAGTAGTTTACCTCAGACCTTCGGGTCCATAGTTAGTAGCTAGATGGCTTCTTCTCTCTCTTTGAATCTCAATACAAAGTTCTTCCCCTCTCTTGTGGAGATCTATTCGATGTAATCTTCTTTTTGCGGTGTGTTTGTTGAGACTGATGAATTGTGGGTTTATGATCAAGTCTATCTATGAATAATATTTGAATCTTCTCTGAATTATTTTATGTATGATTGTTTATCTTTGCAAGTCTCTTCGAATTATCCATTTGGTTTGGCCAACTAAATTGGTAGTTCTTGCCATGGGAGAAGTGCTTAGCTTTGGGTTCGATCTTGCGGTGTCCTTACCCAGTGACAGAAGGGGCAGCAAGTCACATATTGTATCATTGCCATCGAGGATAACAAGATGGGGTTTATTTCATATTGCATGAATTTATCTCTCTACATCATGTCATCTTGCTTAAGGCGTTACTCTGTTTTTAACTTAATACTTTAGATGCATGCTGGATAGCGGTCGATGAGTGAAGTAATAGTAGTAGATGCAGAATCGTTTCGATCTACTTGTCATGGACGTGATGCCTATATACATGATCATGCCTAGATATTCTCATAAGTATGCTCAATTCTGTCAATTGCTCAACAGTAACTTGTTCACCCACCGTAGAATACTTATGCTTTTGAGAGAAGCCACTAGTGAAACCTATGGCCATCGGGTCTATTCTCATCATATCAATCTCAATCACTTTAATCTTGCTTTGCTTTTTACTTTGCCTTTACTTTTTACTTTGCATCTTTATACCAAAAATACCAAAAATATTATATCTATCAGATCTCACTCTCGTAAGTGACTGTGAAGGGCTTGACAACCCCTAATCGCGTTGGTTGCGAGTAGCTATCGCTTTGTGCAGGTATGAGGGACTTGAGCGTGGGCTCCTACTGGATTGATACCTTGGTTCTTAAAAACTGAGGGAAATACTTACGCTACTCTACTGCATCATCCCTTCCTCTTCGGGGAAAACCAACGCAAGCTCAAGACGTAGCAAGAAGGATTTCTGGCGCCGTTGTCGGGGAGTCTATGCAAAAAGTCAACATACCAAGTACCCATCACAATCCCTATCTCTCGCATTACATTATTTGCCATTTGCCTCTCATTTTCCTCTCCCCCCAATTCACCCTTGCAGTTTTATTCGCCCTCTCTCTCCCTATCCTCCCTCTCTATTTGCCTCTTTTTGCCCGTTTGCTTTTTGTTTGCTCGTGTGTTAGATTGCTTGTTTGTTGCGATGGCTCAAGATACTACCAAATTGTGTGACTTCACTAATACCAATAATAATGATTTCCTTAGCACTCCGATTGCTCCTCTTACCGATGATGAATCTTGTGAAATTAATGCTACTTTGTTGAATCTTGTTATGAAAGATCAATTCGCCGGCCTTCATAGTGAAGATGCCGCTACTCATCTGAATAGCTTCGTTGATTTATGTGATATGCAAAAGAAAAAAGATGTCAATAATGATGTCATTAAATTGAAGCTATTCCCTTTTTCTCTTAGAGATCGTGCTAAAGCTTGGTTTTCGTCTTTGCCTAAGAATAGTATTGATTTATGGAACAAGTGCAAAGATGCTTTTATCTCTAAGTATTTTCCTCCCGCTAAGATCATCTCTCTTAGAAACGATATTATGAACTTTAAACAACTTGATCATGAACATGTTGCACAAACTTGGGAGAGAATGAAATTAATGATACGTAATTGCCCTACTCATGGTTTGAATTTGTGGATGATCATACAAATTTTTTATGCCGGATTGAATTTTGCTTCTAGAAATCTTTTAGATTCGGCCGCGGGAGGCACTTTTATGGAAATCACTTTAGGAGATGCTACTAAACTCCTAGATAATATTGTGGTTAATTATTCTCAATGGCATACTGAAAGATCTTCTAATAAAAAAGTGCATGCGATAGAAGAAATTAATGTGTTGAGTGAAAAGATGGATGAACTTATAAAATTATTTGCTACTAAGAGTGTTTCTTCTGATCCTAATGATATGCCTTTGTCTATTTTGATTGGGAATAACAATGAATCTATGGATGCGAATTTTGTTGGTAGGAATAATTTTGGTAGCAATGCTTATAGAGGGAATTTTAATCCTAGGCCATATCCTAGTAATCCTTCTAATAATTATGGTAATTCCTACAACAACTCTTATGGAAATTATAATAATATGCCCTCTGAATTTGAGAATAGTGTTAAAGAGTTTATGAATTCACAAAAGAATTTTAATGCTTTGCTTGAGGAGAAATTACTTAAAGTTGATGATTTGGCTAGAAACATTGATAGAATTTCTCTTGAGGTTGATTCTTTAAAGCTTAGATCTATTCCTCCTAAGCATGATATCAATGAGTCTCTCAAAGCCATGAGAATTTCCATTGATGAGTGCAAGGAAAGAATCGCTAGGATGCGTGCTTCCAAAGATGCCTTTATTAAAGCATGTTCTTCCAATACCTATGAAAATCAAGATGAAGATCTAAAAGTTATTGATGTGTCTCCTATTAAATCTTTATTTTGCAATATGAATCTTTATGAAACTGAATATGATCTTCCTTTATCTAGAAGGCGTTCTAAAAATTCGGAGTATTTAGATCTTAATGATGAAATTGATGAAAGTGGGATTGAAAGAAATAAAAATCTAGATGTTGGTAAACCCACTATATTGGATTTCAAGGAATTTAATTATGAAAGTTGCTCTTTAATTGATTGTATTTCCTTGTTGCAATCCGTGCTAAATTCTCCACGTGCTTATAGTCAAAATAAAGCCTTCACCGAACATATTGTTGATGCCTTGATGCAATCTTATGAAGAAAAACTTGAGTTGAAAGTTTCTATCCCTAGAAAACTCTATGACGAGTGGGAACCAAATATTAAAATTAAAATTAAAGATCATGAGTTTTATGCTTTGTGTGATTTGGGTGCTAGTGTCTCTACTATTCCCAAGACTTTGTGTGATTTGCTAGATTTCCGTAATTTTGATGATTGCTCTCTAAACTTGCATCTTGCGGATTCCACTATTAAGAAACCTATGGGAAAGATTAATGATGTTCTTATTGTTGCAAATAGGAATTATGTGCCCGTAGATTTCATTGTTCTTGATATAGATTGCAATCCTTCTTGCCCTATTATTCTTGGTAGACCTTTCCTTAGAACGGTTGGTGCGATTATTGATATGAAGGAAGGGAATATTAGATTTCAATTTCCATTAAAAAGGGCATGGAACACTTTCCTAGAAATAAAATAAAATTACCATATGAAACTATCATGAGAGCCACTTATGGATTGCCTACCAAAGATGGCAATATTTAGATCTATCCTCGCTTTTATGCCTAGCTAGGGGCGTTAAACGATAGCGCTTGTTGGGAGGCAACCCAATTTTATTTTTATTCCTTGTTTTTTTCTCCTGCTTAGTAATAAATAAATTATTTAACCTCTGTTTTGGTTGTGTTGTTTGTGTTTAATTAGTGTTTGTGCCAAGTAGAACCGTTGGGAAGACTTGGGGAAAGTCTTGTTGAACTTGCTGTAAAAAACAGAAACTTTAGCGCTCACGAAAACTGCTGTCATTTTTATTTTAAGAGTGATATTTAGTTAATTCTTTTTGAATATGATTAATAGATAAATTCCTCACGTCCAGAAATTTATTTTAGAATTTTTGGGGTTCCATATCTTGCGCTAGATACAGATTACTACAGACTGTTCTGTTCTTGACAGATTCTATTTTTCGTGTGTTGTTTGCTTATTTTGATGAATCTATGGCTAGTAAAATAGTTTATAATCCATAGAGAAGTTGGAATACAGTAGGTTTAACACCAATATAAATAAAAAATGAGTTCATTACAGTATCTTGAAGTGGTCTTTTGTTTTCTTTCGCTAACGGAGCTCATGAGTTTTCTATTTTGAGTTTTGTGTTGTGAAGTTTTCAAGTTTTGGGTGAATTCTTTTGATGGATCACGGAACAAGGAGTGGTAAGAGCCTAAGCTTGGGGATGCCCATGGCACCCCCAAGATAATCCAAGGACACCAAAAAGTCAAAGCTTGGGGATGCCCCGGAAGGCATCCCCTCTTTCGTCCACTTCCATTGGTAATTTACTTGGAGCTATATTTTTATTCACCAACATGATATGTGTTTTGCTTGGAGCATCTTGTATTATTTGAGTCTTTGTGTCTTAGTATGCCACAATCATCCTTGCTGCACACATCTTTTGTGAGAGCCATACATGAATTAAAAATTTGATAGAATACTCTATGTGCTTCACTTATATCTTTTGAGCGTAGTAGTTTTGCTCTATGCGCTTCACTTATATCTTTTGAGCGTAGTAGTTTTACTCTATGTGCTTCACTTATATCTTTTGAGCGTAGTAGTTTTGCTCTATGTGCTTCACTTATATCTTTTGAGCTAGATAATTTTGCTCTGTGTGCTTCACTTATATCTTTTGAGCTAGATAATTTTGCTCTGTGTGATTCACTTATATCTTTTGAGCGTTATAATTTTGCTCTGTGTGCTTCAATTAGATCTTTTAGAGCACGGTGGTGGATTTGTTTAAAAAAACTATTGATCTCTCATGCTTCACTTAAATTATTTTGAGAGTCTCTTAATAGCATGGTAATTTGCTTAATAATAATATGCTTGGTATTCAAGATTTGTGAAACTTTCTTTTGAGTGTGTTGAATACTAAGAAAAGATTGAAGCATGATAATTGTTTTGAGATATGGAGGTGATAATATTAAAGTCATGCTAGTTGAGTAGTTGTGAATTTGAAGAATACTTGTGTTGGAGTTTGTGATTCCCGTAGCATGCACGTATGGTGAACCGTTATGTAACGAAGTCAGAGCATGATTTGTTTATTGATTGTCTTCCTTATGAGTGGCGGTCGGGGACGAGCGATGGTCTTTTCCTACCAATCTATCCCCCTAGGAGCATGCACGTAATACTTTGCTTTGATAACTTCTAGATTTTTGCAATAAGTATATGAGTTCTTTATGACTAATGTTGAGTCCATGGATTATACGCACTCTCACCCTTCCACCTTTGCTAGCCTCTCTAATACCGCGCACCTTTCACCGGTATCATACACCTATCATATACCTTCCTCAAAACAGCCACCATACCTACCTATTATGGCATTTCCATAGCCATTCCGAGATATATTGCCATGCAACTTTCCACCATCTAGTTCATCATGACACATTCATCATTGTCATATTGCTTAGCATGATCATCTAGTTGACATAGTATTTGTGGCAAAGCCACCGTTCATAATTTCTTCATACTTGTCACTCTTGATTCATTGCATATCCCGGCACACCGCCGGAGGCATCCATATAGAGTCATACTTTGTTTTAGAATCGAGTTGTAATCATTGAGTTGTAAATAAATAAAAGTGTGATGATCATCATTCAATAGAGCATTGTCCCAATAAAAAAAGGCCAAAGAAAAAAAGAAGGCCCCCAAAAAAGAAAATAAATAAAAACGGGCAATGCTACTATCCTTTTTCCACACTTGTGCTTCAAAGTAGCACCATGATATAGCAAGTCTCATATATTGGGCTTCAAAGTAGCACCATGTCCTTCATATAGAGAGTCTCATATGTTGTCACTTTCATATACTAGTGGGAATTTTACATTATAGAACTTGGCTTGTATATTCCAGTAATGGGCTTCCTTAAATTGCCCTAGGTCGTCATGAGCAAGCAAGTTGGATGCACACCCACTAGTTTCTTTTGTTGAGCTTTCATACATTTATAGCTCTAGTGCATCCGTTGCATGGCAATCCCTACTCACTCACATTGATATCTATTGATGGGCATCTCCATAGCCCGTTGATACGCCTAGTTGATGTGAGACTATCTTTCCCTCCTTTTTGTCTTCTCCACAACCACCATTCTATTTCACCTATAGTGCTATATCCATGACTCACGCTCATGTATTGCGTGAAGATTGAAAAAGTTTTGGAAAAGTTAGAGTATGAAACAATTGCTTGGCTTGTCATCGGGGTTGTGCATGATTTAAATACTTTGTATGGTGAAGATGGAGCATAGCTAGACTATATGATTTTGGAGGGATAACTTTCTTTGGCCATGTTATTTTGAGAAGACATAATTGCTTTATTAGTATGCTTGAAGTATTATTATTTTTTATGTCAATATAAACGTTTGTCTTGAATCTTTCTAATCTGAATATTCATACCACAATTAAGAAGATTTGCATTGAAATTATGCCAAGTAGCCCTCCGCATCAAAAATTCTCTTTTTATCATTTACCTACTCGAGGACGAGCAGGAATTAAGCTTGGGAATGCCTGATACGTCTTCAACGTATCTATAATTTTTGATTGCTCCATGCTATATTATCTACTGTTTTGGACTAGATTGGGCTTTATTTTCCACTTTTATATTATTTTTGGGACTAACCTATTAACCGGAGGTCCAGCCCAGAATTGCTGTTTTTTTGCCTATTTCGGTATTTCGGATAAACGGAATATTAAACGGAGTCCAAACGGAATAAAATCTTCGGGGACGTGATTTTCTCACCGAACGTGATCCAGGAGACTTGGACCCTGCTCCAAGGAACAAAAGAGGCGGTCACGAGGGTGGGGGCGCCCCCCCTAGGGCGCGCCCCCTGCCTCGTGGGCCCCTCGTTGCTCCTCCGGCGTACTTCTTCCTCCTATATATACACACGTACCCCCAAACGATCAGAGGAGGAGCCAAAAACCTAATTCCACCGCCGCAACTTTCTGTATCCATGAGATCCCATCTTGGGGCCTGTTCCGGAGCTCCGCTGGAAGAGGGACGTCATCACGGAGGGCTTCTACATCATCCTAGCCCCTCCGATGAAGTGTGAGTAGTTTACCTCGGACCTTCGGGTCCATAGTTAGTAGCTAGATGGCTTCTTCTCTCTCTTTGAATCTCAATACAAAGTTCTCCCCCTCTCTTGTGGAGATCTATTCGATGTAATCTTCTTTTTGCGGTGTGTTTGTTGAGACCGATGAATTGTGGGTTTATGATCAAGTCTATCTATGAATAATATTTGAATCTTCTCTGAATTCTTTTATGTATGATTGGTTATCTTTGCAAGTCTCTTCGAATTATCCGTTTGGTTTGGCCAACTAGATTGGTAGTTATTGCCATGAGAGAAGTGCTTAGCGTTGGGTTCGATCTTGTGGTGTCCTTACCCAGTGACAGAAGAGGCAACAAGGCACGTATTGTATCGTTGCCATAGAGGATAACAAGATGGGGTTTATTTCATATTGCATGAATTTATCTCTCTACATCATGTCATCTTGCTTAAGGCGTTACTCTGTTTTTAACTTAATACTCTAGATGCATGCTGGATAACGGTCGATGAGTGGAGTAATAGTAGTAGATGCAGAATCATTTCGATCTACTTGTCACGGACGTGATGCCTATATACATGATCATCCCTAGATATTCTCATAACTATGCTCAATTCTGTCAATTGCTCAACAGTAATTTGTCCACCCACCATAGAATACTTATGCTCTTGAGAGAAGCCACTAGTGAAACCCATGGCCCTCGGGTCTATTCTCATCATATCAATCTCCATCACTTTAATCTTGCTTTGCTTTTTACTTTGCCTTTACTTTTTACTTTGCATCTTTATAACAAAAATACCAAAAATATTATATGTACCAGATCTCACTCTCGGAAATGACCGTGAAGGGCTTGACAACCCCTAATAGCATTGGTTGCGAGTAGCTATCGCTTTGTGCAGGTACGAGGGACTTGAGCGTGGGCTCTTACTGGATTGATACCTTGGTTCTAAAAAACTGAGGGAAATACTTACGCTACTCTGCTGCATCATCCCTTCCTCTTCAAGAAAAACCAACGCAAGCTCAAGACGTAGTAGCAAGGAGCTCAATGAAAGAACATGAGATATACAAAACTCCAGGATCCAGCATTGTTGAGCTGAATGGTGTGGTTTACGAGTTCTTGTCCGGGGACCGTTCACATCCTCAGACTGATCGAATATATGCAATGCTTGATGAGATTTGCAAGACCTTAAGCCTCAAGGGCTACAAGCCTTTAACTAAAGAAGTCACCTTTGACGTTGATGAGGAGGACAAAGAAGTTTGCATCTCGCAGCACAGTGAGAAACTCGCGCTTGCCTTGAGACTCATAAGCACGACAAGAGGGGCTGTCATCCGCATAGTGAAGAACCTGAGAATCTGTGAGGATTGTCACTCTGTCATGAAGATAGTCTCAGAGGTCTATGATCGGGTTATAGTTGTCAGGGATCGAAACCGATTCCACCACTTCAAGAACGGCTCCTGTTCCTGCTTGGACTATTGGTAGGACAAAATCGGAATGGTAAGGTTCTCTAGGAAATATGCAATCAATTCATTGCCCTTTTGTATTAGGAATCACTACTTTCATACAACCAGTGGATGGAACTATATAAACATAGAAGTAACCTTCGTCCTATTCACGATCATAAGATCCCTTGGTTGAATTAAGTCTTTTTTCACGAATGAAATGTAGATGGCATGATCATGTACTTCAAGAAAAGTGTCTCAGCTGGCCACGCAGTACTTGCTTGTTCACACGATTTATACGTCACTGCGGACTAATTGACCAAGATGCTGGCTAAGATTATGATCCCCTGCACCCCGCCCGACCGAGAAATCTCCCTCAATGATTGGTGGCGCACGCGCGACATGACACCCCAATGCCCATGCGCAAGGGCCTCGCCTCCGTGACCCACCTCGTCCCATGGATGATATGGAAGCACCGCAACGATTGCGTCTTCAACAGAGGTCAACCCTCGACGTCCGACCGGCTCACGAAGATCAAAGATGAGGCCGCCCTTTGGGCCAGAGCCGGCGCCCTAGGGCTTCATGACATCTTGCCGCAAACCTGGCACGTGCACTGATATGCCCCCAGACACTGTAATTCCCTCCTAGGAGGATTGTAACCGAGACTCCCTTCCTTTCCAAAGCAATGAAATGCAAGCCCTTCTTGCGTTTTCCTGAAAAAAAAAAGATTATGATCCCACTGGCGCAAACTGTTCACCTAACGTAAGTCTTCAACTCTTCCTCTCAGCATATACCCCTTCTCTTTACTTGAATCTAGGGTTCAACAGAAAAGAAGTTTTGATGTAGATGAGGCTTTTTCACAAAAGACATGATTCTCTTCATTGATTGCTGCTGTAACAAAAGATTCCTTCACAAGAGTATACATATTTCACTTCTGTCCTCATTACACTGTCTGAGGGCCTGTTGGGGAAGGCACCAGCTCCCAACTCCACGGTCGAAGCGTGTGGAGCTGCCCTGAACACTCTACCTCCGTGGAGCTGAATCTATGGAATCCGTGGAGCTGAATCTATGGAATGGCTGCGTCTGTAGTCCACCACAGGAAAGATGAAAGGGGAGGGATGGATACACTATTTTTGTGTCACACCCATTTGTGCGCCAGGAACACAGTGATGGATTATTACTGATATATATTTACAGATGTAATCATATAAGGAAGTTTTAGTTGGTAATGATTTTACAACAGAATGTAAGGATTTCACTGCGAATCCACAACATATCAAGGGGTACACATAGAACATGGCACTTATACATGCATTGTTCGTTAACAGAATTCACTGAGAAGCAGAGGTTGGAAAATTCTTGTTCTCAAAGAAGACGAGGCTACGCCTTCAGCATCTGCAGGCAGTCTTCGATTATGGACATAGCCGAGGAGCGGTACCCAGAGCCGAAAAGGTTGTAGTGATTCAGGTAGTGGTATAGGAGATACAGGTCCCTCCTCTTCTCAAAGCCTGGCTGCTTTGGCATCACCTGAATAACAGTTCAGTATGTTACATTTAACTTTTCCATCAGGACAGTAAATTGGGAGGCCCACCCGGCACAAGACGTGATATAGTTAAATAGGAAGAGAGAAAGACAAGCAGTCAGGCAGTCAGCGAGCTGTGTTGGAAAATATGCAGATGAATTCAACAAGTACAGCTTGAGGTGAGGGGCTGCATTTTATGGGAGTGATACACAAATTCTACTATCTTGTTTTATTACGAAACATGTAGTGGAACAAAATGAGTATCAGATACCTCGAAATAGGAGCGGTAGAATTCCCCTCCGAATCCAGCACACCAGGACATCCCAAACTCTGCTTCATTGTGTCCATCTGCAGTTAAAGAACAATGGTGACGTTTCTTCAACGATTATCTACGGGTTCTAACAAAACTGTGCAAGAAAGTCAGTGATTCCAAACAAATTAATAACCACTTGGTTCGTGTGTATGTTGATCGACAATTTTCTTATAAAAAATGAATCAACATATTGCATACAATGATTGTGATTCTGGAATTAGGGCAAGAAATAGTGAATTTTACATACAGTAGCATGCTGGATCCAATATTACAGGATCTCCATTGGTATCAGCGCTTATATTTCCACTCCATAAATCTCCATGAAGCAGGCATGGTTCAATAACAGCACCGTCAAACAGTGGATGCATTTTCTCAATCAATTGCTGACCTGCACAAGAGGAACTTACATGAAAAACTTGAACTACTACGAACTTGCAATCAAGAGAAAAATGGCTAGCAGTCAGTTAATGATGTGTCCATCAGAAGGAATGGGAACATATAGGTCAAATTCCACATTTCTTCTCCTTTCTTATGTACCTTTTTCATATATGGCTGAATCTCCGAACCGCTGTGATATCAACTTCAACTGGTATCCCAGTCTATGCTTTGAGTAAAACTCAATCCAGTCAGCAGTCCAAGTGTTGATTTGTGGAGTGTTACATCAGGAACATTGGTGGGTTAAAAAGAACAATATTTCAAAGCAAACATGAGTTGCAAGCCACACCACTGGAGATGGACTTCATAATAAAGGGATAAGTTCAGTTTTAGAATACCGAGCGCTTAATTTTACCTTCCAATAGTATTTTCAACATAGAAACCATAGCCCTTGTCAGATTTTGCAGCTTTATGCATTTCAGCCAGCTTTCTTCCTAGAGCTGTCTGACAATAAGTTGTTTGTTAATGATGCATGATTTACATAAAAACTTGCAACAAAAGCTACAAGTTACCTTTTTCTTTGAACGAAAGGGGTTTCTGGACAAGGTTACCTGGTCACCCCTAGAACGACCAAATTGAATATACTCCATGATGATAAAAGAACTACCAGTTGGTAATGAACCAACCTGTAATAAAAAGGGACACAAAGTAAGAAATGAAGTGAAGAAGAACAGGCGGCTGTAGGCAAGGTGTCAGGTAGTGAAAATAAAGATAGTTCAGAACATCTCTGCTAAGATGCTAACTATTACTCCCTCCGTTCGGAATTACTTGTCGTAGAAATGAATGTATCTAGATGTATTTTAGTTTTAGATACATCCATTTCCGAGACAAGTAATTCTGAACGGAGGGAGTAGTTGCTAGATAAGAAGCAGCCAATGACCTTCAGATGAATATAACTGAAATAAGAGTATGTATACCAATCAGAATAAGTATCTAGCTCTGCAACTATGGTGTAGTGCAGTTTCAGTCATGAACAATAGTTATGATTATCTTGTACTCCTACTAGTTTATACATGTTCTTGAGTCTGAGTTTTCGCTGACCTTGTACGGCAAAGGGACATGGATTGACTTGGTGTCATACATCGCCTTCAAGCCCAGAGCCTCCCCTTTAAACATAGCTGGACCAATGCGCCTGGCATACAGCAATACGTTTCCATTCCATTGTTGCCACCAACATCACTACTTGCGCTACTCCACTTTATGATGAGTTAATTCTGAACATAAATTGGTTCTAGCACACCTGCTGGTCTTCACAAAAAAGGAGCCAGCATCGGTGTCGTAGCGTTGGGCGGCGTTGATGCAGCCGCCCCCAATGGAGCTGGTCCCTGTGATCTGGGTGGCCTTCCCCTCTGCGAGGATCCACTCCTTGAGTGGGTCGTCGCTCATCGCAGCCACTGCCCAATTGCACAAGACAGGATCAAAATGACACATAAAAACATATAGTAGTAGCATCCATAGCCACAGCTACAGCCATGGCAATGCCATGAATTGGGCCTGGAAATTGAAGCTGGTACCCACACAGACAGAGTCACAGCTATTGCAGGTCATGGCTGCCAGAGCACCTCAAACCCTATCTAAATTTAAACGGCCAGCATTTCATATTGGGGTTGGCCATGGCCTGCCCTCGCCTCGCTGCTGAAGACCATCGACACAGCCAGGAGCACGGCGGAAGTAAGCTTCAGCGCAGGTCGTACGGCGGCGAGGTGAAAATAAGAAGTTGGATTGAGTTTTGAGAGAAGTAGAGGAGCACGTACCGATGGATAGCCTGGAGGCTGCTCTGCGGGGGCAGGCGGAGCGGCGAGGAGGGAGGCGGCGACGGAGGACCGAGGAGGCGGAGGTGGAGGGCAGCGCCACGTTTGCTGCCATCGCACTCGCCTTCTTCTCCGAGCACGGACGGACGCCCGGCGCCAGCGAAATTCTATTGTCTGCAACCGTCACCATCGCCGTGGCTAGGAGTGACGGGTGCTGCCGAGGGCCCGGTGTGCCTAGTGAGCACGGATGGGTCACACTGTCCCAAATTGTTCTGGGCCTTTCTCAGATACAAGGCCCATTTGCCGGGAATGAAGAACATGTCAAACTCGTAACTTGTTAACTGTTTATTGTTGCTTTGTCTGTTTAACTGCACGGAATTCTGCCCCTAAAAGGTATACTCGCTAATAAACATGTTGGGGCAATTGGAGGGTGCCCAATTTGCCACAAGAGCTCTGAAGATATTCGCCATCTATTCTTCATGTGTATTCACTCAAGAGGTATGTGGAGCCGACTTGAATTGACAGATTTCATCAACACCGCAACAAATGTTGATAGATCTGGGTCAGTTATTATGGAGTATATCTTGTCTATTGATCAAACACCACTACCTCTAATGCCGACATTGGAGATTAAACATGTCGTAGTGGTGGGATGTTGGTACCTCTGGTGGACACGCCGCCTGATAACACATAATGAGAGTTGCCCGCCGATGGTAAGATGGACTTTGTCGGTCTTGGCAATTACAAGCAACTATCAACGAGCCATGGCGAAGATAGTTGTGACAGAAGAGGAAAGATGGTTGAAGCCAGACCCAAAGTTCATCAAACTTAATGTGGACGCGACCTTTTTTGCGGAGCAAGGAGTTAGAGCTACGGCAGCAATTATTAGAGACGAACGAGGTATTTTCCTTGCAGCTCAATGTAAGTTTATCCCATATGCAGCGGACACAATGACATCAGAGGCAATGGCGATGAGGGACGGACTGAATTTGGCAAATAGCCTAGGTTTCAGCGAGTTGAAGCGGAATCTGACTCTCTAACGGTGATCAACTACTGCTCCGGTCAGAATACTTGGTGGGACGCGGCGGCAGTGATATTCGCGGAATGTGTGGACATCTCTATCTTGATTGGGAAGGTCAACTTTAAGCATTGTTTTCGATCAGCAAATCAAGCGGCGCATGTGCTAGCTAATTTTAGTTATTGTAATAAACTTTCTTCTAGTTGGACTAACGAGCCTCCAGATTTTCTGGTGAGCAAGCTCATAGACGATGTATCTTTATGCATTAATCAATAAAGCTACCCATGATGGTCTTCCCTCAAAATCCATGTTCATTAGAGCATGAGTCTTTTCTATTTGTCTGTCCATGCAACCATGTTCCTCAATTTTTTTCTATATGTTTGGTTACATGCATGTGATTGTTGAAGAAGAAGAGAGAAATAAAATAAATAATAAAGAAAAAATGCTTTGTGATGGTCAAATTCTATGTGGTAAACGCAAGACCACTTACCGGACACTTCTCATACTCATCTCATACATGAGGGTAATACGAAGGGGTCTCGGACAACACGGACATTAAGGAGGCTTTGAGGGGTCTGATTGGGTCAATTATTTTCCTCTCTCTCCTGTCCACTTAGTGATCCTGTGTCCGCCCGGTCAATTTTGAGAATCCGGTTGTAGATGATCTTAGTCCATGAAAATTGGATCGTTCAATAGCCATACTCTTCTCCTTCAAATTTCATTTCTCTGAAGAGTGTTGAAACTTCACTTGGCACATTCAACTAGATACATAGCCACCCAAAATAGAAGAAATATTTGTTTACAACAAATAATCCATGAATCTTTCTTTTATCACTATTGCAGCACTTGAGCCAAACCTGCAGACAAAGATCACCTAATTCCACATGCCTCGTTGTCTGGATCACCCTCTAGTTTTTATCATCTCCGGCATTCATCTTCTTTTCTTTTCTTAAATACGCACAAGTGTGTGTATCATATATTAAAGAGGATATGGAAGACTTCCTCCACGATTTTGTTACAAATTAATTACAGGTGGCCAGGTGCCAACCTCCACCCCAATAACAAATCTTGGCTGACTACTCGCTATTCGCCCACGGTGCCAACTTTGTGAAGAACCCCTCGATTACCCCTTATAGTAGGCCTGCCTGCTTCCATCTCCTCTTCTTACTCCACCGCAGCGCCACGAGTTAATATTTTGTCAAGAATAAACTAACTTTGTAGTTATAATCAAAATGCAAGCAACTTAAACACAGATAGTCAATGTCCTCTTTAACTTTCTCCGCTATCTTTCCTTTTTTGAACTATGCATCAACATGCTTAATTTCTATTGTTTAACTGTTTTTTTTTTTGCGAATTAACCTGTGGTTGGATGGTTAGAGAGATTGTGGTATCCCCAACCCACCAGCCAAGAAAAGCTGGATCTACCTTACAACTTACAAGAACCATTTGTCCATGAAAGAACATTTTAACATTTCCAGATATCCCATAGCAGATGGAAAAATAGAACATTTTATGTAAGATGGAATAAATAAATAAATACAAACAAAACTGTACAATCTGTCATTGCACTCACAAGTGCCACAAGCCCGCAATTGTACTCACAATAATTTCCACAAGCAGGACCGAGAACAACAATTGTTACTCACAATAATTTTCACAAGCAGGACCGAGAACAAAAAAAGCTGGATTTACCTTACAAGAACTATTTGTCCATGGAAGAACAAAAGAAAATGAATTCAGCTCCGCATGAATGCAGGTTCAGGCTCAAGTTTACATGGATGGGTGTTTACAACAGGAGGCCACAAATCCTCATCAGACAGAAAAGATAAGATGCTACAAATATCCCTCAAGCAGCAAAGTTCTATTCACCTCCTTGTGCTCCACATTCTTCAGTGGAAACGACTGGCTGCCACCAAACGCCAGGTCGCTCAGCCCTGGGCTCACCATCCAGACAGGAGAGAGCTCCACAACAACCTTCTGCACCAGCTTGTCCTCCTGAAAATTCTTCAGCAGCGACACTAGGCCAGCCCCGTCATCTATGAAATCCACCAGGACACTACATAACCCTCGATCTGCGAGAAGTTGAAGGACGGACTCCAGGTTCATCTGATCGAGGACAGAAACGCTGACTCCCGATGGCTCCACAGTGACGGGACTATCGGCCAGGACTATGGCGCTAGATGCAGACTCCTCGTCGAGAAATGGGATGTGTAATTTGGAACCTTCTTCCTGCGCTATGATGATGTAAAGAGGCTGCTTTGCGCCAGCCTCGCGTGATATTGGTAAGGTAGTCGCCTTGGCCATGTCGCTTGAAATTATAACTCCGTCGTATTCTTTCGCTAATTGCGAGTAGTATCCTCCTGGTTGATCAGCTCCGCTCCCAATTTGATTTATGACAATTCCGTTCATCGAGAGTGTAGTTCTGCTTCAGTGAGAACAGATAAACATCAGCAGCAGCGTCACACACTATATTCAGACGAAAAGGACTAAAGAAAATGGCATGCAACGGTACAAAATACAAATATCACTACACCAAAGTAGCTGAAGCAATGAGTGTACTACGTTTTCCTAACCACAGATTTAAAACACAAAGTTTGAACATACTGTGCAACTTATATTTAAAAATGAACCTATTCCTATATTTAAAAAGTGGCAAAAATGTGTGTGCTGATATTACCAGTCTAGAATTCTAGCAAGATACCTGTAGTTCACTATTTACCTCAAAGTTGCAAAGGCCTTCCCAGTAAGCATGCGATGAATGTAAGCCTCATTTAATCTGAGACATAATGCTTCCTCCATGCCAACCCTTACATCTATCCCGGCGTTTCTGAGTTTTTCAATCCCTTTGGATGCTACCATAGGATTTGGGTCAGTCATCCCCACCACAACCTCCTTAACTTTGGCTTTGATGAGTGCTTCAGTGCAGGGAGGGGTTCTCCCGTAGTGGTTGCAGGGCTCCAAACTGACATAAGCCGTTGCATTCTCTGCTAAATCCCCTGCATCTCTCAAAGCAAATACCTGCACACGAAGCCACATATTAGCAACTGTTATACTAAGGCTATGAGCTTATGATATTATCAACAGTACTATTATACTTTAGTGGCCTAAGTTCTTAAGCAAGCAGAAAACATATGCGCTCTTACCTGTAGCTAATAGCCTAATACTACAATGTTAACTGTTATTTCTTCGTAAAAGCATAAGCTGAGATCATATTTGTTGTGTATGAGAATGAAAACCACCGCATACTGTTGACATACTGGCTACAAGTGATAGTATTTCCTAAACATTTGTTTGGTGTTAGAAGTATGACCTGCCAGACAGCTAGAAATGAACAATTTATGGCATAATGCAGCCAGTATTGGAACAGTACTGATTAATGTAGCCCTGCTTTTTACTAAGTGCAGTAAATATGTTAGTGAAATTAGGGATGATATGAGGTGCCCCTGTAAGCTGCCTCGAGGGTTGGTGCGGCCGGCTTGGGCGAGGTCTTGCCGCCGCGCGGAGCTGCTCAGGCAGTGGCGGGCGGAGACGGGGAGGCGGCGCCGCGCGGTCCGGGCGGAGGCGAGGGGGGCGGCGCGTCCCGGAGAATGAGGACACGGTGCGTCGAAGAGGAGGCCCCAGAGGGGGTGCGGCGCAGATACGAGGTCGACGGGGGCGGTGCAGCTTGGTGGAAAGCGGCGAGCTGAACGGAAGGGCGGCGCGGGGTTCGCAGAGGAAGCAGACTCTGTTCCTCAACCGACCACACGAGCTTGCTCCAATCTCCATTGATTCGATGGTTCGACCAGTCGATCCGTGCAACATATTAGGGGGGAAAATGACCTAGGCCTAGTTTTTTTTCTTCAGGAATTTTTTTTGTACTACTCTCCCTGTCTCAAAATATAAGACTTAGAAAAAAACTTATATTTTAAGACAGTGGGAGTATTACTTACGTGGCAATGCTACCACCAAAATTACAGTGTCCACCGATCTCATCCGATCTCCAAGCTATTATACTGAAGAGTGAAAGGTCATGATTTGTGAGAGAGAACGAGAGTTCACCCATCCGTCGGAGTTTGGAATCGTCCGGCGAGCTGCCTACTACTCATGCTGCTTCCTTG